GAAGTTGTTAGGTCCCCACACTGTTGGGCTTATCAAGCAAAATCGAAGGGGCAAGGTCGTTTTCCAAGGATTACATCCCCTTGTGAAGTTCGGAAGATTTGCTTAGCTGAATGAGTCATCCGAGTCTCATGGAACGTCCGATAAAGCATCCTCTGAGCCTACTTCTTTAGAGAGGGTTATTTCTGAAGATGCCATCATAGTGTCGGATCATGTTGAAGAAGAAAATGCTCCAGCTCCTAATGCACAAGTAGCTGAGGAACATGATCTGACATCTATTCAGGTCCAAAGTGATTATAATGAGGGATCTTCAAAAAGCGGAACGGAGAGTGATTTGTATGAAGACCTTGATCTTACTGGGTTTGATAAGGATGAAATTCCTTTAAATTTTGGTAGTAATGAAGATTTCATGACTGGTGAAAACCTCAACACGCTACTTGACAATATCGATGACGTTGCTCATCTAGCAACAGAGATACGGGAAGCTGAAGACGTTTTTGAAGCCACGCCTCATACTACTAATCAAGTGGCAGAAACAACAATTCCTATGGTGACAGTATCAGAGATTCCTCCCCTTGATGTTGTTTCTCCTACATCCGAGCCACTTGAGAGTGATCACACAACAACACAAACCTCTCAACCTCCCATAAAAAGAAGAAGACTTGACCCAAGACAGGGAATTCTTATTCCTGGCCCACTTGAAGGCTTTTCAACTCCAACAACAACCACTCCTGCTATCGTCTCATCAGAACCTTTCAGTGAAGGTCCTAGTACCTTTTATGAAGCTGGTGGTTCTTCTTTCCCCACAGGATTCTCTCCTCTCAGGCCAGATCATGATGCTGCTTCTGTGAGGCTAGCAATGCACTTGGCTGAAGAACAATTCACAACGCCTCCCTCACGTGGTAAAGGAATATCTATTGGGGATGGCAGCTCTGGAGAAGAGAATCCTACAATCCCTGGAATTCAGAAGGAGATCAGTGTGCTGAATCAGAAAAATATAGAGCTTGATATCAGGGTTACAGACCTTCAGACTGAAAAAACACCAAGCTCAATATTCAAGTTGCTGATCTTCTTGAAGACAAAGATCTGAAGACAAAGCAGATCACTGATCTTCAGACGCATTTTGGTTTGTTGACCGCCAGCTACTACGATCTAAAGAAGAAGCTTGAAGAAGAATTTGGCGACAAATTCAAGTCATCTGTCGATGAGCCAAAGATCTATCTTCCCAATCAAGATGCTCCCATAGCTCCACCACCTACAAGAACAACCACTGTTGTCGATCGTTTTGACAAAGAACCAACACAGGCTCCGAATGTCGTGGCGTTAAAACGTGCTAAACTGGCCAATTCTGCTGAGAAGGATCAACTTTTGTTCAAAAGGAGCTCGGATCAGAATGCTCCTGGAGATCAACCTAACATCACTGTTACGGATCTTGGAGAGAATCGCTTCAGGGATGTATATGGTGATAGGTCAGGGATCATCTCATGGGGATTCCACGACACTCTAAATATGTGGATTGTGAGAAGAAAGAGTGGCAATACTGAACTGTACAAAGATGCTCATGACTTCCACTCTTGGACCAGGATTGACCTTACAAAGTTATCTAAGGCTCCTTTTGCAAATCCGTCAAATGATCCCAAGGCGACACCAAGGCGACACATTTCAAGTTATTTTTGGAAGATCAAGTGGCAAAGGGTTTTCCCTCTATGAAGACTGTAGAGTCGATTATCAAGATATACCCAAGTGTCATTGATCCCAAAACCAATCAACCTCTTCGGTCTGTGATGTGGCCCGCTACTGATCAAGTTAAGCAGATTCCTATCCTTCAGAACCATCCAGATGGATCTCTAAAATCCATGCAATACTGGGTGTTTGATGAAACTACAGCTTCTGTTGTCATCAAGCTTAAAGAGAGTTGTATCCGCTTGTATGATAACAGAGATCTGCTGTAGTTCGGAAAGTGGGATATACATCAGCTTTCTCATCATCAGATCAAGGTTGTTGAAGACATTTTTGAGCCCGTTGCTAAGGAGTACATTGCAATGGTTGCTGACATCATCAGAAAAGAAATGTGGTATGGAGCTATGGGAAAGTCAGACATGCTGGTGGTTGATAAAGACTAAGTCCAAGCTAGCCCCAAATCAAGGGGGAGATTGAAGGGTCCAATTAATGGTTTGGTCTAGGCTTTCATTGTAATAGTTTATTTTGAGTCTTTAGTGCATTTAGTGGGTTGTTAGCGTGTTTACGGCCAGATGGTGAGTTTACGGCCGTAAACCTGTTTACGGCCGTAAACCCTGTTTGTGGTCCAAGTCTAGTATAAATAGAGGAGTTGTAGGTCATTGTCAGGTTGTTGATGCAACAGAGTTCACGGTTCACTGTATCGAGTTGTACCAGACGTTTTAGTGCAATAAACGTGTGCAAGCTTGATTGATCTTCTTCTTCTACTCTTATTCTGATTGCTTTTGATTGTTTGATTGCTTGATCATTGGTAAATATCCGTTTTAGGACCTTACACTTTATGCCCATGAATCATAATTGAGTGATATTACTAATAATATATGATCATATAGGGTCACGACTTTAACAAGTTGGCACATTTTGTATATTTATGATTAATATGATTTTTAACAAATAATATCAATTCTTGTATTTAATTAGGGAATAATTATTGTTTTGTTAAAATAATAATTAAAAGAGAGAATAACTAGTTATTATATCATATGGTATGATATAATAAGTCACGCACAACCTTTTGGAGTAGTTGAATCCTTTTGCATTTTAACTAAAGACAAAGTTTATATTTTATAAACTTTGAGTTTATAACATTTAAAAAATTCATCTCCTTTTGCAGTATGTGGCCGAAAATGATGAAGGCATGCGAGGTTTCTTGACAATCTCCCTCCTCTGTCTCCTATACCCCTAAATTAAGGTTATTACTTTAGATTTTAATATGGGGTTGCTTTTTCTTTGGAATGAGAATATAAAGGAAGTGTCTTGCATGAGTTTGGCTAAGTTTTTGGTCTTAATCTCTCTCTTATTATAAGTGGTCGAAACCTCTCTTCTACTCCTCACTTCTCTCTATTTTAAAGTTAGTTTAGTGGTTAGAAGCTGCCTTGATTTGTCCCTTTTAGTGCTTATTTGAGTTAAGTACTTAAAGGCTTATGACACTCAATAATAAAAGAAGGAACTAGCATTCCAAGTGTCTTATTCTTGATGGTGGATACTTGTAGAGAAAATCATACACTTTTATTTTTCTATCTTCATCAACACCCCAAAACTAAAAGGGTTCACAGGCTTCAAAGGTTGTCATTCTTAAACACTCTTTGGTTGTTTTTTAATATCATTCTAACCTATATAAATGGAACCTAGATGGTTTGGTTTTGTTATAAACTTAAAACTAAACTTGTTGTTTTTATAAGACTCACTACAAGAAAAATACCCTTTAATGACGCGTGAACAATGACACTCGCTGATTTACGATATGCATTTTTGTGTGTCCTTAAAAATAATGTTAGCCTTCCAAAATATGAAGGATAGAGGACACACATTTTTGCGTGCTTTAAAATTAATGTCCAACAAAAAAAATACAAACACGGAGGGCACTTGTTTTAAATGCGTGTCCTCTAGAAATGTCGCTTTATATATTTTTTTTTATCAAACGCGCGTTTCTGAAATTCTAAAATTTTGAAGTGCCAGCTTCTTCAATCTCTCCTCTGTATCTCCCTTCATTCACTCATTCCTAGGGCTTTTTCAAGAAAATTCAAAATGCTCTCCAATTCTCGATCTCTTCAGGTCCGTCCTCCCAAAATAAGGAAGAAACTAGTTTGATTTCTCCCCTAAAACCTGGTACGAGTTCTACTAATCCTTTCTCTTCGCTTGTTGCGTCAATTCCTCTCCACCGTTTTTGACCTCGCCTCTTTCTTCTTATCTCAATTTGCTTCCAATTTCATCTTGTTCTGTTATTCATCGTTTTCTATTCATTCCTTTGATGGCTTTACGTAGATTTTTGATTCCTTTGATAGGTTCCGATTTTGATGGTTCTCTTCAAAATCATCCGAAATCGATTGTTCCCTCACTGCCACCGCTTGACCAGACGTGCACCTTGTGACAAACCATAATCGGTGTTGCTCGCGACAAACCGTCATCGGTGTTGCCGCCACCGTCCAAGATAAACACATATGCATGTTTCCAACTTCCTCCATCGTTTCACTCTCTCTCTCTCACTAGAACACGAAGGCACCGATAGTACCTCCGGCGGTCTCTTTGTCCTCTCTCTCTCTCTCTCTCTCTCTCGATCAAACGTGATTCACGACGCTGTAGTCTCTCCTATCTCTCTGCTCAGTCCGGCTTACGAAGTCAGGTAGCCATCCAACCACCTCTGCCGGTATTCCTGTCAGCTCTTTTGGTCTTTCTGCTTACTCAAACATAAACCCATAGAGGTAATTTTAAATATACGATTTTTATTTCTGATTTCATTCAAAGGTATATTCCATTGCAATCAGCCTTTCGGCCATGGAAAAAACCCGCAACACTGTCATTCAGTGTTAGGTGAAATGCTTGAACCAGGGTATGTTGATTGTTGATGGATACATGTGATTATTTATATCACCGAATGATTCTTATGGTAACTAACATGTGCTCTTGAAAATGTTTCATTTCATGGGTGGTTTTATTTCTTCAAGTAACAGTTACTATGCTTCCCCTTTAATCCGTATATGTAATTTCTTTTAGAGATCATTATTTCTAATCTTTTGTGAATTATGAACATATATGACTGTTAAAATGACTTTTTTAAAGATAGAATTAGTATTAATTATTAAGTAACAAATTTAATTAATAACAAGTTAGGCAGAATCAGATTTGCAATTGCATTAAAGCCTTCTGATTTCAGTACCAAAATTTCTTGATTTTTATAAAAAAAAATGAAGGCATCAGAGGAGTACAATTCATAGGTTTTGAAGCAATATATTGAAGAATTGTATTGGGGCTCTAGTAAACGTGTGATGTTGCTTAGTCATAGCAAGGCTGGTGTGGATGTTGCAGCTGCATTATCACATTATTGGTGTGATCTTAAAGATAAAGTTACAGGATTGGCGCTTGTGCAGAGTCCTTATGGTGGAACCCCAATTGCATCTGACATCATGCGTAAAAGCCAAATTGTTGATAAAGAAACTAGAAGAATCATGGAACTCATAGTGTGCAGGATCATCAAGGTAAATCTTACTTTTTTTTTTACTTTGTATGAGTAAATGACCATTTTACCCACCGTTTTTTTCATAGGGGGACATAAAGTCTCTTCAGGATCTAACATACCAGAAAAGAAAGCAGTTATTGAGAAAACATGTCCTTTTTCAAACACCTAATGTTCATATGCTAGGTGTTCTATTTATTTTCTCTTTTCCCAATTTTCTCATTCGTCAGTTTTTTTAACATTTTTTTATTTACAGATTCTTGGATCTACAATATAGTTTTCTTGATGGTGCTATCGACGATGGAAAATATGAAGATGAATGTCGGACAGTTCTTGGCACGTGGTCGTTTCCCGTCTTCACATTAGATAAACTGATAGACAAGCTTACAAATTGACAATGCCTTTGACAGTTGCTAGCTATTGCAACAGATGAGGTTAATAACAAGTTTTCTTGATCTTTATGCTTATGAAAATTTGAGAAAAGACAAGGTTTTCATATAGTCAAGGATTAAGTTCAGGATAGCCGCCTTTACATATAAGGTTAAGAAATTACATATTTACCCTTTTACCATCAGTATAAATGGATTGATACTAATACTATGAAAAATGACAGATATCCAAACATGTTAAAACAATTCAAGTAAAGTATTTACTATGTGAAATGTCTCAACTTTAATGGGACATACAGGGGTATTTTTGACATTTGGGCATGGTGTGTGTGACAGGTGTACTATGTTATGGGTACACTCATCATAAGAATTTATAATGTATTTTGTTTGTATGATTTCCTTCAGGAAAGTCGAACACTTTTGTTCTTGGACCAGGTGCTTGAGAAGATTTGTAATTCACTTGCATATATGATCAAGTATTGTGATACTGCCATACTGGTGGATCGAGCTAATTTCTTGATCTTTTTATTAAATTTACATATTTAAAAAAAAATCATGAATTTTAATGTTCCTCAAAAGGCAACTCATATTTATGTTTGTTTATCTCTACACTTAGGACTATTAAATGCAAGAACGGATCAAAAAAGCAGAAGCAACAAAGAAAAAAAACCCAAATTCCCATAGGATTTAAGGCTCTGTGTTAACTGTTAAGTGAAGTTTCCAAGGTAAACAACATTTCCCTCATCCTCTTCAGATTCCCTTTTGTTGTTGTACAACCTCTATTGTTGCAGCTAACTCTAAAAAATGTTGATCGTAAGTACAAAAAGTTGCAAGTAATTTTTTTTATGATTAATATCATTCGAGATTTGCTAAGTTTTCTTATAAAAAACTTGAAAACTACTGTAGAGAAATCTATTGAGGTGCTTTGGGAGGGATGGTTAAGATAAGATTTCTAATGGGGTCCACAAGTCCGCAAACTTACTTTTTATCTTATTTAATTCACGAACACAGCGCCAAAGGCGGGCATGATTCCCCTCTAGTTATGAGACTTTTAATGTGTTATTTAATTTGAAAATTAGTAAATCTATCAAAAATATATAATTTTAAAAACATTTAAAATTATGACACGCAAAAATGTGTGTCGTCTTCCTTTATGACAGGGGTTTTCTTGATACGCATTGAGTGTCATAAACACGCGCGTTGTAAGGTTACGACACGCAAATGCATATCATCTTCCCTTATGACATGGCCTTCCTTGATACGCATTATGTGTCATAACTGCGCGCCGTAAATGCGTGTCATAAATGCGGGTCATAAATGCGCGTCGTAAATAGACGACGCGCAAAAGCGTGTCGTCTCTAGTTATGACAGGGCCTTCCTTGACACTCATTTGCGCGTCGTCTGAGCGTTTTACGACACGCATTGCGCGTCGTAAAAGGCTGTTTTTCGAGTAGTGACTTTCGTTGTAGTTTTTATGGAAAACACACTTATATTTTGTATCAAAACCCATCAGTGGTACCAGAGCCATCTTTTATATGTTAGAATGATTTTTTATGTTTGATAATATTTGGTTTTTTGAAAACAAGTATGGATTTATTTTGGTTAAGAAATATTCATATTTATCTTCTTTGGCAACTTCTTAGTTAAAATTGTTTATATTTATATATAACCATTTTTCATGCATTTTGGTTATATAAACGTTGCTTTAGAAAAAACAAAGACTTGTTTGTTATTATATTTTATATGTTGTTGTGTATAAACAACTCATTTGGACCTTTGTGTTGTGTTTGGTTGAAATATATTTATTCATAAGATGTAATAGATAAATAGATATTTTTTTTTCAATTGTTGATTTGTTGTAATAAATTGGTTAGACTAGCTGTATTTGTTTTAAATGTAACAAGATGAAGAAATGACCCTCTTGAAGATAACTTAACCACTTGAGATGATAATCCCAACCATGAGCTTCTACTCTTGGTTTTGGGCTTAATTAATGTCTTAATGGTTTAACTGTTGCAACCTTTACAACATGAAGACTTGAAGTTCTTTTGCAAGCAAAGAGTTGTCTTGGCAAGTGAGAGCTTGAAGACCTTTTGAAGAGTCCCTTAAGTCCTTTAGGAAAGACTTAATAACTTTTGTGATGGCTCACAAAAATTATTACTCGACATGACTTGGTTTGTACACATTTTTAATGCATGCATGTAATGTTTGTTTTTTATGTTATTGTATGTTATGTGTTGTATATGAAAATGGGTTTTACATGTCAAATAACATTTTAAAATAAGATAATATCACTTGGAGTTTGAGTAAAAAATATTGAAAAGATAGCATAAGATGTTATAATTGGATATTTATAAAAACGTTTTTACCGGTTACCGGTTAATAGTTAAAAATTGATGTTTTTGTTAAAAATAGTTTTATTGTAAAACTTATAAATAACGAACTTTAAAATATTTTAAATTGTTTAAAATTTGTTTAAACATTATATAAACTCCATGTCTTTATAATAGATAAGGAGTTTTGTTAAAAAGACTAAAATCGATTTATAGCGTTATAACGACAAATAATAAAACTAGTGATTATTTTTACGTCGAAACTTAATATATGATATTGGTGTTTTTAAATATAACGCAACATGTTGATATTATATTTTATGCATGCCAAATAATATTTAAAACATAAGTATCATCACCTAAGTTTTGGTTTATCAAAATATGATTTTTATCATAAGATGCATAAAATTGAGTTTATAAAACAAAATGAGTTTAGTCTACAAATTCATAAAGTCATTAGATTTTGATTGCTAAAAGGAGATTTAAAATAGTGATTTTAGAACTCATCCAAAACTCCATATCTTATGTATAAAATGAAGTTTTATTAAGACTATGACCGGTTCTTAACGGCTCTACAACTAAACTTTAAAATATTTGATTTTAATTTATAAGTGATCGCGACTAATGGTAAATAAAATGAGGTTTTATTTAGTACCTAACGAACTTCATAACAAGTGATATGAATTTTACAAAAAGGTATATGAATTGTTGGATGCAAGCAATATTCATAAGACCGTGTTTTTTATGACTATAATTGTAAAACATAAATATAAAACTTTTTCTTAAAAATGCAAGTCATTTTCGTCCTTTTGAAGAACACCCCATATCATTTGTATAGTCTTGGTGGCAGAGGGTGTAACACCTTGATGCTGGGTATTTTCCATTTTCACCCTTTGATATGAAATTTGTTGCAAAATTGCTCCCATATCCCATTTAAAAACAAACACGTGTTTTGGGAAGTATGTTGGGCGTACTTAAGAGTACGTTGGGCGTACGTGGCTGTGGTTAAACCCTAATTTTTAAGGTTTGGGCCCTATTTAAACATCATTACCTCCTTAAGACCTTTTCCCTCATGAGCCTCCATCTGTCAAATTGTGCCTTGAAAACCCTAATCCATAGTGTGAGCATTTTTTAGCTTGAGAGTGCATTTTTGGTCTTCTTGAAAGAAGAAGAAGGAAATGGAATCATCTTGGAGGTTCGATCCATCTTGGATTCAGAAGTGTCTCACCCTCAAGCATCCTTTGAAGGTATAAAGTTTGAAACTTGATAAGTTATTTATTTAGATCTTGCTAGCTTAAAGCTTGTGTTCACTTGTGGTCCCATAAGTTTGGTGTTCATGAGTATGGCTTACTCTAACCAAAAGATTTGTCCTTTCAGACGTTTTTAGGTGCTAGGAACCATAAAAATGTGATCTTGGTCCTTTTATCCCTTCCATGCAAGATTTATGATGTCTTAATGGATTATTAAGTTAGGGTTTAGCTTTTGGACCTTTTCTAGCCATGGAAAGTCATAAAGGTGGAAACTTTATGACATAAAATGATATTTTGGGTTTAGATCTGTAATTGAATAAACAGTCCTCAAGGAATAAGCACATAATGAAAAGAATTGGATCCAAATAGAGTACCATGAGCATACCAAGACGTACGTTGTGTGTACTGGACTGAGGCCCCGTGGTTTGGAAGGATTGTGGCTACGCCCTACGTAGTACCCGAGTACGCGAGGCGTACTCAGCCTACTTTGACTTCCTTGACTTTTGACTCTTTCACTTCGACCTTTGATCAAGGGTTTGACCAAGTTTGATTTAGGAGAATTTTGGGTAGTTTGAACTATAGATTGAGAATAGGTCACTGTTTGTTGTATAGGTGACCAATAGAGTTGGCGTTTGGAGCAGCGTTCATTTCTGCTACCTTTCAGAATGTGAGCTGAGTTTCCTTACTGTACTTGTGGGTCGAAGGCACCAATTCCAAACTACTAGGTTATGTATCCTAGTATATAGGATGTTGATATGTTGTATTGATCTATATGATTATATGTTTGATGGTTATATGTTTATCTGTTGCATATGTCAACATTGTGTGGCTTGGGTTGAGGCAATGTTGCTTTGTGCGGAAGCCAACAAACCTTGGAGCAAGCTAGACATAAGTTGTAGGTTGGATAGGCAAGTCATACTTATGTTGTAGGCTCAAGAGCAATCCAGAAATGAGTTGTGGGCCAGAAAGGCGAGCCATGCTCTTGTTGTGGGCTTAGAGGTAATCTATCCCGATGGTTGTGGACCTAGTATGCATGTTGTTATATGTTTGTGTGGTGGTATTTTTGGGAACTTACTAAGCTTTGGCTTACAGTTTGAGTGTCATGTTTTAGGTACTTCTGATGATCGGGGCAAGGGGAACGCGTGATCGTACATATCCTTCAGTGATATGCTTGGGAGATGGATACACAGATTGAGGGATATTTGTATTTTCTTGGTTTTTGACTTGGGTTTTTAATTTGAAACCATGATATTACCTTAACTGAAAAATGAAAAAATTATCATGAATTTTGGTGATGTTTCACAGGGTCACGTGGTCATTAGGATTGTCTTATGATGTTTGGGGTAGTTTTGTAGTTTCTGGTGACTAAAGGGTCACTTTGTCACTGGTTAGTTGCAATACTACAAGTTGTTTCAAGTATGAT